GAACGACGTAATTGCTCGAAGCATTTAACGCGAGAGAAGCAATTATTTTTACGATTCCAGGCGGGGATTGTTGGGACGGAAGTCAATCAACACGGGACGTTTCGCCTTTTGTTTTCAGTGGTACCACGGGTAAACGATGTTGTAACGATATCGATTCATTCCTCTTCCATTTACCCACGGATAATTGTAACGCGATATTATTAATTATACACTGCACTTGCAATTAATATGCTTCAGCTACTGCGTTAACGTTTGCCACCGTGATTATTATTGCCTTCTACTGCCGTTCGCGTTATCTCCTCGCCCAAACAGCATCGTTCTACGATGAAATAATTAAACATTCTGTTCCCTGTTTCGAAACGTCGAAGAGGCATGCAGAGATTATATAGTAGCGGTGAATTTCTTACGAAGATATGACAGGCATGCTCGTCTATACGTTCTGTTGTCTCAGACGATCGCTGGTGGCGCTGTTTACATGTCGTCTGCCTGTTTACATCGCATCCTCGTTTTCACTTGCCATGTTTGGAATAGTTGAAAGTCTACGCGGTCTGCAAAGTCTATGGATGAGGATTTCTGCAGGTCTAACTATCCGGAATTCGCTTTTAAATTAACCCTTGACGAATGGATCATAATGCCAAGATAGTAAATGCACGTTACGTGACATTGATTCCCATTTTAACCAAAGCGATTATTTCTAGGAATTAATTCTCATTCGTAGTCCTTCAGCTGTTTTTGTTTTTCGAAGAATTAGTGGAAAAGCACGAATTACTTGGTGGTGTTGCCTGTCTGTTTACTTCGCATCCTCGTTTTCACTTGCCATGTTTGGAATAGTTGAAAGTCTACGCGGTCTGCAAAGTCTATGGATGAGGATTTCTGCAGGTCTAACTATCCGGAATTCGCTTTTAAATTAACCCTTGACGAATGGATCATAATGCCAAGATAGTAAATGCACGTTACGTGACATTGATTCCCATTTTAACCAAAGCGATTATTTCTAGGAATTAATTCTCATTCGTAGTCCTTCAGCTGTTTTTGTTTTTCGAAGAATTAGTGGAAAAGCACGAATTACTTGGTGGTGTTGCCTGTCTGTTTACTTCGCATCCTCGTTTTCACTTGCCATGTTTGGAATAGTTGAAAGTCTACGCGGTCTGCAAAGTCTATGGATGAGGATTTCTGCAGGTCTAACTATCCGGAATTCGCTTTTAAATTAACCCTTGACGAATGGATCATAATGCCAAGATAGTAAATGCATTTTACGTGTCATTGATGCCCATTTCAACCAAAGAGATTATTTTTTGGAATTAATTCTTCAGCTGTTTTTATTTTTCGAAGAATCAAACGAAAAACACGAGTTACTTGATCTGTACGTAGTATATTGGAGAGATTTGTTTAGTTTCACGAAGAATGCGTAAGTGATCGAGGCACTTCGCAGAACTTCTGCGTTTTGAAATTGGTCTGACTTGTTTTCAGCGAATTTTCTTTATTCGCGTTAAACCATCATAACCGCGTTAATTCGCGTGATATACGTATTCGATACATACATTCGTGTTTGGAAAATTTTTTGATATTCCATTTTTTATACTTATCATTGTATCATTGTGTGTATATATACTGCATACGAAAGGGTGTCCCAAAATTCACGCAGGATTTAAATTTTGCGCCATTTGTGACGAACGAAAAAAAAAGATATTGAGATATTAGGATACTAAGTATACTGATGTATGCTTTAAGAATTAAGCAAAAATTTACAATTTTTAATTAAAATCCTGTGTTTTCTATCAAAATTTTGGGACAACTTTATTAACAATTTTACAGCTCTATATCTTTAATGTTTTCTGATCTATGTTTTTCACGTTTATTTTAAAATTCGACCAACGTTTTAGAAATATTTTTCCTCTCGCGTGTGTACATATATACCATTGAACTTTTCCAAAAATCAAGTACAGAGAGGGAGAGTTCACAAGATCAATAGCATATGCAATAGGTGTTAGGTAAAGAGAAAAATTGTTCGACTAAAATTCTTGCTTATTATCGTCTATTTGTGAATTGTATAAAATAGTTTAATAGAAAATTTAAGATACAATGCAGTATAACGTACATCGGTAAAATACAATAAATGGGTGTCCCAAAATTCACGCAAGAAGTAAGTTTGATACAAAATACAGGTTTTTAATTAAAAATTGTAAAATTTTTGTTCATTCTTAAGTATACATCGGTATAATTAGTATCTTGGTATCTCATTAACTTTTTCTTTCGTTAGTCGCGAATGGCGCAAAATTCAAATCTTGCGTGAATTTTGGGACATGCTGTTATAATTTCAATTTCGAATATTAATATAATAAATCTGCAGTGACTTTGTTTATTAATTGCAAAACTCTGCAATGCTTTGTTCTAATTCCGTAAAAGCGTAATAATTTTATAATTATGATGCTTCTAAGGTAAAAGCTACGAAAATACGTGCGTACTTGTAAAAAGGAAGGCAATATTACCGGCGCTATGAATTGCGGATGAAAATTCCTTCCATTTACGAGCAAGGATCAAAGGAAAATCGTGACATCTAAAGCAGTTGCACATAATCTATTGTAGGACAATGAAGCTAATAAGAAAGAAAAACGATTCGCTGAGCAGCAACGCGTATATACGGAACAAAGGAACAATGGCGAAAACAGCTTTTTCTTCTTTATATAGTGCATTATTAATTTCGATTACGAGAAAATTCCTATATATTTCTTCCTCATAACATCGGTAAAGTTTAAGAAATCATTCCATACATCTTTACAACCATACACAAAAATATTGAAATACTACCATTTTTTTTTTATTTGTATATTATTATATCATATTAAAATAACGCGAATAATATCCTACTTAAATGTACTAATCTACTTCACTCTTTTGCATTCAAAAGCTTCTCCGATCTGTATAACGATCATTATCCACGATACAAATCGGCACATGCACCACCATCACGTTTCGACAGCCATCTCGCCTCTACCTAACTTGTTGATACCTAGCTGCACCGTAATCCCATACCGAACTACTCACGCACCTCTTCAATTCCACGAAATCACCCCGACCCTCGTTCCTTTCCTTCCATCAAAAATATCCAATCAACCGCCACCGACAAAAACAGAAAACCCAGAACTTTCCAGCCTTCGTCCCACGAGCAATCCCTCTCGAAACTTTCCAACAGCGACGAAGTTGTGCGGATATCGACACCCCGGTGGATCCACGTCGCAAAACAAGCGTAGACACGGCCAGTCGCAGCGATACGGTGGCCACGGCGCCGCGAGAACGAGTAGTGAGCACACCACCCGCGTGGCGGCGTTCTCTTCCAAGGGTTTATTCGTTAGTGGCGGCGGTGGGGGTGAGCCGGAGTGCGCAGTAGGCATGCGCGACGTCGGTGTGGTGGTGGGGACACTCAGTGTCACTCTGTGCCGGGCGTTGCGGCGCCGTGGCCCTTCAGTCTTTGATCCGCAGCTGACGCGAGTGTGTGCGTTGCCCTCGAGCGTGGTCTCTCTCGAGCGACGAGATCGTTTCTCACTGACGGTGCGCGATAAAGAGGGGAGTCGACGGCCACGGTACAACGGTGGTGCAGTAACCTCTCACTGTACACTCTCTCCTCCGTGTCTACGCTCGGGAATACGGCATAGGGAGCCGCAAGCATCCCTTAGACGATTGGATCACGCGTCGAAATACCTTGCGACGAATTCAAATATATTGCCACTCGATCGTTATCGCTGCTTTGTCCGTTACGAAGTGCCTCGAAGTTTTTCCTCGCTACTCGGCCTTCGGTTTTCGTTTCGCGAATAAGTTTGGATAATCGTGGTCGTTGAACTGGTCTAGAGGAATCGTCGAGTACCGGGTCCACGGCGACACGGTCTCTTCACTTGCACCCCTGGGACCTTCGGGGCACGCTGCTCACGCTCTACCGGCACGGATTTGCGTGCAGTTCTCAACCCCCTGACCTAATTAGTTCGTCCGTGTCGAGAGTATCCGTGACGTACGTTGACTGCTCGTTCTTACAAGGGAATTGCTTCTATCATCGGGATCGTTTCTCTAGTGATGTGCGACTGAGGAAATCTTCCCGACTGTACCTCTTACCGAGAAAAAATAACACGATATCGGAACCTACGATTTCGGAATTGGTGAAGGAAAAGTGTCCAGTGATAGAGCTCGATAGCTCGACCAGTGCTTCGTCCGTGGAGTGCAGTGAAAAGGATACGCATCGAGACCAGTCATCACATTTTTCGATATCTATCGACTGTATAAATAAGTGATATATAAAAATCCATCTTGGAAGATTACTACCATCCGCCGGCAGCCGTCTGACAAAATTCTCCACCCACGGAAATAATCCTCGGGTACCGATCGACGGCGAACCCAGCGTCCAGGACCGTCCACTTAACCTCTCTCTCGTCTAACCTCGCGCGGGAGTTGAACTTTCTCGCTGGCGTTGACAGATCGATAACAAAGTTTGCGTACACGTTAGCCCGGTCTATAGCCGGCGGCCAGTCACGAAAACGAGTCCTTCCCGTGGAATGTGTCTGCTATAACAATCATCCTGGGAGCAACAACCGACTCGACCACCCGAACCAACCTCCACCAATCGAAGCGACGTGACATGCTGACGTCCTGAAGCGCAAAAGATACGCTGCCCCGCTCGTGGAAGGACCTGTATGCGGACCGCGGCGCGTCCGCCGGAAATCTGACGGGCCGTCGCTGCTCCGGTCACCGAGGCAGCCTGTCGTTGTCGCTTTCCACCAGGAAACGTCAGTACTTAGTGAAGTACAAGCGGAAGCAGGAAGACAGACGCGAAGTAGAGAGCAAGGAGCAGCGAGGGTCCCCGTGGCCCATACTCGTGGACGATTGTCGCAAGAAGGGTGCAACGGTGAAGGGTAACGGTGGATTCGGCGATTACTCCGCGGCGGGGGAGTTCGAGGTCTGGGGTGACGAGCAGCACGCGTCGGATGGTGTAGAGAGGCAGGTGGCGAGGCCGCCTTCGCGGCAGCAACGATGCGAAGGCGGTTCGTCGCTGAGGCCGTTGCTTCACGTCGCCCATTGTGAACTGCATTCGCCCCGTGAGCCAGAGCTGCTGCGACTCGATCATCTGGAGGCACTCGAGCACAAGTCCGCGGCCGAGCGCAACTCGTACTCGATGATGGAGAACTTTCACAGCCCCGTGCCACCGCCGCTCCCGCGACGCCATGTCCGGTAAGATGATTTCGATTATGGTGATGGTGTTCTGCGATATGCGAATTCTCTACATGTGCTATAGGTAATTTCCATGCGATTATTATACGAAGTTTAAGGTGATTTTTTTTTTTCTTTTTTTTTTTCTTTCGGTGGACTATTGGTGGCAGTTGTCGATACTTGGGGTATGAGAAATTTTTAAGGTTAGGAAGAGGTGTTCGCAAGTGATTGGACAAGGAGAAAAATAAATGGTTTAGAGGAGATTTGGGCAGTTCAGAGATTTGAAGTGTTCCGAGTTTCAGTAAGATTTTTATAAAATCGTATTAATCGTGGGTGCTACTAGTGGAATGCTAGTAATTTTTGGGGGGGAATTTGTTGAAGACGATTCAGTGAATGGATTTGTCAGGTGAAAATAGTGAAACGGATGAAACATATGTTCCGAAGTTTTGCTTTCTTTCCGAATTATAGGAAATTTCTTTATTGTAACTATGTCAACGGTATCGGTATAACTAATTTCGTCCTGGTATTTCGAAATATCAATCGGTTTGCAATGTGTACTGGCATTATCGAAATAGAGGGACGTTTTCAATAAATCTGTTAATTGAATAAAAATATTGGGTAATCATTTTTTGCTGTTCTGGTGGAAATAATCAAATACCCATTATCAAAACGCAAAACTCGTTAGAATTTGCAAATAACGTGAAATCAAAATTTTTATATAAAAATTTATCGGCAAATGGGAAACAGATTAAATAATTTTGAATCTAGTTCGAAGTATAAAATCATAATGATGCTGAATTCTTTGATAGATTTTTGTGTATTTTCACGTACATTTTTCCGTCAAAATATATTCAAATGTAACGGTCATATCAAGGTTGAAAATATTCATCGGTATTTACTAATTGACACGGTATGAACCAACCAAAATTGGATTGATAAATATGACAGGAGATAAAGTGAAATCATACTGAAACTATAGAAACTATGTTTCAGTTTGGAAATTTGCGTGACCATTCCAGTTACAATCACGTTCGTTGAAAATTCCTCTGATTTATGTCATTGTATTTTCCTAAATATATTTTTCATTTACAACAATTATTAATTATTATAATTCAGAAAAAGAAGCCATTTCTTTACTATAGTTCATTTAAATATATATTTAAATAGCATAGTGTTAAGTTAGGTCATAAAGTGTCTAGATACTTTGGATTAAAATATTTGATTTCGTTGATTTAAAATACAATATTAATCTTTTGTAGTTGTCACCAGGACAATTTTCACCATAAACGTAATTTAATTTATGTTACAATTACAATTTATTCTTCAGATATTTCATCGCAGCCATTTTATTTCTTTATAATACACGTTTGACGCCATGCTCAGAACCTTGGATTATAAGAAACAGCAGATATTAAATATTCTTCATTGTTAATCTTATGTTATTATATTATATCTTTCGATATCTCTCGATCTCAACAAGGCTCTGAATTTTCATTCGGTGAATGAGTAAATATGAAATATATTTTATATTCATAGAGAGACTGGGAAAAACTGAATTGAACGAAGAAAAATTCGCAACAGCTTGTGTCCGTATTAATAATTACCTAAAATGTATAGTTTTCTGTTCACCGTCGTTCCTTCTCATACAAATTTATAGTGGAATATTAATTCCAACATTGATCAAATATTAATTTCGACAAAATTGAAAATCCGAGTTCGTATGTGATAACTGACGAGATACTAATTAATCAAGATGGTGGTTCTTGTTATCGCCTGCGGTTTGCCACCTGTCGCATAAAAATCGAACTCGGTGATCGAATGATTCTCGTATCAGGTCGATAAAGTCGCTATTCTGCAATCAAATTTTTTAATCAAATTTATTTCACGATCGAAAGAGGCAAAAATCCGAAAATATATAAGTGTTCGTGCAGAGCAAAGCTGCAGATACGTCCTGATTAAATTCTAATACCGTGTGTCACACATGATACAAAAAGTAACGTGTATCCTGGTGATTATTGACAGGATAGGTTTTAAAACTATGGAGATATAACACCGTGTTGAAAACGAAATAAAGCTTAAATTTTCTACTCGTGTTATAATCAGAATAATTCGTCGTACCACATTGATTTTTGATTCCTGTAATGTCACACCTTGCCCTGTTCGTTGTTTCCTCGAGTTTGTTTGGGTTGATTAAGAGTAGAGTTCAGTAGAGGAAAGATAGAATTTTTCAATAACACTGATTTTTGATTCCTGTAATGTCACACCTTGCCCTGTTCGTTGTCTCCTCGAGTTTGTTTGGGTTGATTAAGAGTAGAGTTCAGTAGAGGAAAGATAGAATTTTTCAATTGGACGTAGGTGTGTGGGAAGGAATTTTGGTTGTGGAGCGGGAACTGTCAAGGATGTTGCTTTTCGGTAGTCAGTGACGTGATTTACAAGTAGATGTCCTTTCATCGCTTGGGTCGGCCTGTCGCACGTGGGTCCAATTTGTTAGGTCCGGTGGTTGTAAATTTTCTATATTTTTGCATTTAGGCATATGACTTATGACTCGAAGTACGCCTAACCTTCGGAGTTACAGTCGTAATACAAAATAATAAAATCTTTAGGATTATTGGAAATTAAAATAAAAGTTAAGCTATAAACATGGCCTCTGTTAAGAAAAAGAAACTTTTTTTAACATAAATAGGTTAATACTTCTTTGTAAAGAATATGAAGAAGCATCATTTAGGAAAATATTAATGACCTTCATATGTCCTTTACACGTCTATCTACAAAAAGACTAGTATCATCAGAATATATCTTTCTTAAAACCATTCAACTTCATCTGAAACATTTTTCGTTATGCCTGATAATAATGACTTATATCTAGATGGCAATATGTGGTGACCCCCCACCCTAAATATCTCCAGTCGCTTTCTGAACTTTGTGTTACTTGTATTTGTCCGAGACAGGCATCCAGACTCGAACGGAAAGCAGACTTTTAACCGCCAGTTTTCGAAGCGCCACGCCGCGGACGTGTCGACAAATATCGAGTTTAATCACCGCTCTCGATTTACGACGCGGGAACAATCGTACGGACCCGGAGAGCTTCATTTGCGCTTACCGGTGTATTTACGCGTTCTCAGTTACTCGGAATGGCGCAATTATAGCACGAAAATGCCAGAACCGATCGGTGATAATGTGCGTGCTATTATTGTTGCGGTTATCGAGATTCGGGTTGGTGAACGTATCGATAGAGAGAGTGTAGTATAATAAAATCGTGAATTATATCCAAACTGTAAGGGCTTCGTATATCCTTGATACGAATGTTTGGAAAACTGGTTTATTTTATTAATTGGACATTTGCCTGATTTATTTTGCAGAATTGTTTTCGATATACAATATGCCTCGTTGTTGACTCATACATATTAAATATCACGGTCAATGATACCGAACAACCTATATAGGTTATGTTGTCACGAGAAGAATATAACTATGATAAATAGCTAATATGACAAGCAGTAATATAACTATGACAAATAGTTAATATGACAAGTAGCTAATATAATATGACATGAAAATTTCTTTAAAGATGGCGGCGTATAGGAGGTTAGGTTTATTTCTTTAATTTTTTACCGTTGAATTTCACGAAATAACGAACTCTGAATATAAAAGTACTAAAATACTAAAAAAGTAATATTTATTTTAATTATGGTGGCTGCGGAAATAAAAATTTATTTTAATTATAAGAGTTGTACCTACTGTTTTAGAACACTGGTGATTTCAAATTACTGTTATGTAACTGCAATGTTCTGTATCACTTCACATTATTGAAATTAAAATATGACCTAAATTGATGGCTTTTTTTTATAGAAAGCTTAATGCTTTTTCCCGTGTAGGAGCTGGATCGATTAATGTATTAAAAAAAATACACGACCCCATTTAAAAAGCAAATATCATCCAAGATATTCTAGAGTTTCAGTTTCAGTGGTCACAAATAAATTATTCACTTTAAAAAAATAATTGTACGAGTAATGAATATATATAAAATATATGTTCTTTCGATTTTAATTAAAATTGAAAATGTTATTTAATACCTAAAGATTTAAAGTTGGCCTTTAGACGCAAAATAAAATTAATATTGATGTATTTAAATATTTATATAGTTCGAAATTGCGAATCTGTTAATTTGTAGGTTATAATTTCACGAGACATTGAGGTTCGATATTATATCGTTCGATCCGGTTATTGAAACGATTCAGGTTCAGATATTTGAAAAATTCGAGCAGATGATTCAAATTCCGAGGATGAACAGAAAAATTTTTACCAAATGCTTAAGGTTTGAAGAATATTGAAATTCTTAAAGTATTAGATATTTCCTCGAAGAATAGGTTACGTAGAGACGAACGTTTCCTCTGAGATACGTGATGTATTGTATTATTCTACGATGTCTAATGCTTGCAGATCTTCATCCATTGCTTTGACATTTCTTCGTTTCGTATCGAGTCAAAAATATTTCCTATCAAGAATTTAAAGAAATTTAAATTTTCGTAATTTAAGAAAAAATGGAAAGAATTGTTTCCGTCAAAAATATTTAATTTAAAAAATAAAGAAAATTCGTTCCTTTCCTATCAAAATTACTACTTGCGTGAACTTTTGGGACACCCTTTATAACTGTTCTTCATTTCTCCATCGATGGTTTTAGTTGTTCACCAAGTGCAAACGGAAGCCCAGGTGACCCGCAGTAGTTACGGGTGAATTCTCTATTTATTGGAAAGTTGATTTCTCCGGCGACTTTTATCGTTTGGAACTGAGATCGGTCTCGATAATAAACCGTTTCGATTTTTCACCGTGAAATTGAATCGTCAGTTGTATCTCGAGTTTGATAATATCGATATCGATCCTGGATATTGAAGATACTGTGGACCCTCTTTTAATAAGAACGCGTAGTCGACTGTCAGATATAGCGTTCCGTTATTCGGAATATGACAATTATACATCATTAAAGTTTTACATCTAACCAATAAATTCTATTTTTACCGGTG